AAAAACAAGAGTTGAAAGCCAGCAAAGAGGGCAGACAGAAGTAGTGGAGACTGCCGCAGCGTCTCCTCCCTGCACCCGTGATCGGCCTGTGTAGTCTCTGGCCACCTCCGCCTGCTCTGCTGCACGTTCACTGCCCTGGTGGCCGCTGGCCGAACGCCCGTGGGCCTGTTTTCAAGTAGACGTGGGCAGCCGTCAGGGGCTGTGTTGTCATCATGGCCCTGGGCTTGACACCTTAGAACATTCCTGTCTCTTCTGCCCCACACATGGCTCCTCTTCCCCCTGGAGGCACCTGAGGGAGATGGGGCGGGAGCAGCCCCAGGTCAGCATGAGCACCTGAGGGTGCCTACAGGCCCCCGGCACAGCAGCTCCCGCTCGTAGGTCTTTATCAAGTTCTGTATTTATCTTCTCTTTACTTGAAAAGCAGAGACGGAGAAAGAGAACACAGGATTCGCTGTCTGCTGATTCAGTCCCTGAATACCCACAACAGCCAGGCTTGGACCAGGTTGAAGCCAGGAGCCTGGAACTCCATCCAGGTCCCCGCGTGGTTGGCAGGGACGCAAGCACTTGAGCCATCGCCTGCCGCTTCCCAGAGTGAGCGTTAGCAGGAAGCTAGATTGGAATTGGAGCTGGGATTTGTATTGGACACTCTGATATGTGTGTATTAACTGTGGCACCAAATACACCGCCACCCCCAGTCATCCGGCATTTCTTAGGCTGGAGCCCGAGAATATGAGCTCAGGGAACTGAGCTTTCTGCAAGAATTTAAACATGTTGTGCTTTGGTGTCCGCTGGTGCTCACTGGCCACTGCCCCCCACGTAGACCCGCCCACTGTAATGGCATCGATGGCTCTGGCCAGAGCAGGTGGCAGGGTCCAGCTGGGCCTCCGGGATACCCCAGAGCGACTTCTACATGTGGAGACGAGCTTTGGAGGTGCGATGCTGGGCCCACAAGGCAGTATCTCCTGGGCTCCTCTCTGAGTCTGTCACAGGTAGCCGGGATTTCCAACGGGGTAGCTCTGTCAGGTGACTGTAGTCAGGGTCACTGGCGAAGGGACCCGGGTGGAGGAGGGGAGTGAGGCCCATGGTCCCTCCTCCACCTCCGTGGGAGCCAGGTTGCTCACAAGCAATCCCCCGGGGCTCGGGGCTGGTTCCCTGGCTCTGCGGGGTCTGAGTCATGGGGGCGGCTCTGGGCTCCCTGGGTCACAGCTCCTTGCCTGCCTTCCGCTTGGTTTTGAAGTGGCAAGGTCCCTGTGCCTCTCTGGCGGTCCCCTCTCTGCTCTGTGATATTTTTGTCCGCCCTGTTGCTCATGCCCCTGCTTAGCCCTCTGCGGCCTAAGCATAGAGACCCGAACAGCCGGTCACCTCACCACCACCGCCACTCCAGGGGTGTGCTGTCTCGAGTCTAGACATGCTTGACAATTGTGAATGTAGGTGCAAAGAGACTCCCCAGCTAACGGGGGAGTTCTGTTTACTTTCTAAAACGTTTTATTTGAAAGGCAGAATTGGAGGGAGAGACCTATCTTGCCTACTGGTTCACTCACCAAGTGGCTGCAAGAGCTGGAGCTGGGCCAGACTGAAGCCAGGAGCTTCTTCCAGGTCTCCCACGTAGGTGCCAGGGTCATCCTCCACTGCTTTAGCGAGTTGGATTGAAAGTGGAGCAGCTAGGACTCGAACAGGCGCCCATATGGGATGCCAGCACTGCAGGCAGAGGCCTTCTATGCCACAGCGCCGGCCCAGGAGTTCTGCTGAACCAAGACACTGGACACTGTCATTGTTAACTTGCACTGTGGTGGTGCTGTGGAACAACCAGTCCTGCGAGGCACTGGCTGCCAGAGGCATTGATTTTTCTCACAGGCTGGCATAGAGAATGTTGCTGTGGACCGTGGGTGGTGGAGCTGGGCTCTGTGCTCTGGGTTGAGTTCTCGTCAGCCTCATTTGTCTCCTAATGTGGCCACAGCTTCATGGACAGTGCTGGAACGCAGCAGGAAAAGTGCAGACTCAGGCCACCTCTCGAGACTCTGCCTCCAGGATGCCCTGTGGTGACTTCTGCTCGGTGTTGCATTGGCCAGATGGAATCATGTGGCCAAGCTCCAATCAGAGTGCTTCAGAAGTTTGCGGAGGGGTGGGCGTTTGGCCTAGGAGTTCATGTGCTGCTTGCAACACCTACGGCTGCTGTCGGGGTTCCTTGCTTTGAGCCCAGGCTCCTGTTTCCAGTTCCAGCTTCCTGCTAGTGCACACCCTGGGAGGCAGGAGTGACGGGTGAAGTATGTGGGCCCCTGCCACCTTTGTGGGAGACCCAGATTGAGTTCTGGACTCTTGGTCCAGCCCTGGCTATTGTGGTTCACTCCATCTGAGGAGTGAACCAGAGATCTTTCTGCGTCTCTTTCTGCCCTTCAAATAAATAAACTAAAAAAAAAAAGTAAGTTCTTAGAAAATTCTTAATTAAAAGAATAAGTTTATTTTGGTGTATACACTTTTGAAATCATAGGGAAGTGTGTATTATGAGAAAACAGCAGGATTTCAAATTTTTATTTTTGCATCAAAAGAAATGTATCCTTTAATTCCATCTTCCGTGAACTTTCTGATGTGCCGTTGAATCCGTGGGCTGGGAACGAGTACTCCACCCGCTGCAGTGCGGGGCTGCAATCTTACAGAGGTTAGGAGGGAGGCACTGAGAGTGTTGAACCTGGCTGCCAGGGGGTTTCCGAGCCACAGAACACCAGGGAAAGTGGTCCCGGGAAGTACAAGGAGCTCTGGGAGGGGGTTGTCCTGCTCAGGAAAGCCCTCCTACAAAACCCACGGGTAGATGGTTCGCGTCAGTTAGGCTAGGGGTGGCCGTGGCTGGCCACTTTCTTACCTGGCACAGGGGCCAGAGCCCCAGTGACGCCCCCAGCCACACCGCCAAAGCTGGCTTTCTGCCCTCTTGAATAGGTTCCTTTGAGCACTTCAAAGGTAGTTGAAAGCTTGCTGTCCCAAGCATTTGGCCATGAAGACATCAAGCAATCGAGACAGCTGGTAGCAATCCTTAGCACCAGTGCAAGGAGAGGGGTTGGCGGCTCATCCTCTGGGAGCCCGAGTGTGGCTCGCGTAGGCAGCTGGGACCGCTGGCTGCTGGGCAGCCCGGCAGTCCCGATACAAAACCCGGGTGATGCCATCATGGTTTCTGAGCCAACAACGGGAGGGTTTACCGCCTCGCAGATGGAGTGGCCCTGGGCGTGTATCGATGCCTGTCAGGAAGATCCCCTTTAAAGACCCAACATAAAATGCCCAGAGCATCCCCGAGCTGTGTTCTTTGGGCTGAGGGAGAAATCCACGTCGTGGGCGTGTTGTACCCACGTTGCTCGGAGCAAACAATGAGATGCATTCTCCTGGCCGAGCCTGGGAAGGGAAGTGGAAGTGGATGCCTGCGGGGTGACTGTTGTCACGCCTGTTGCTGGGTGGCGAGGGACGGGCCTCATTGTCCGACTCTGAAAGCTGCCCTTTTACAAGCAATGCCTGAGAGGAGCGGTGGAGTTGGCAAAAATCTGGCCACCCCGAAGGCTGGCCAGGCACTGGCTCTGGCTCCCGGAGCTCTGCCTCTTCCTCACTGTCCCTTCCTGCCCTGAGGATGGTGGTGTCTGCTTGCTCTGGGAGAGAGGGTCGCTAGGTCTCCCTGCGCATGTCCCCCGACCCGCCCAGCCGGGCTTGGGGGCTTCTCCCTGTGCCAGAAGCCAGCTTTCCACTCCGGTTTTCCGTGGCAGCCTCAGTGTCCGCCCCATCATGCCCAGGTCAACGCTGAGGTCTCTTGAGGTGCCCACTTGGGGCAGTTCATCTGTGGTTGAAGCCTTTGAGGCCAGCCTAACCACCCCTTCTTTTTTAACAAAATTTTCATTTATTTGAATGGCAGAGAGAGATTTTCCTATCTGCTGGTTCATTTTCAAAATGACTACAACAGCCGGGACTGGGCCAGGTGGAGGTCGGGAGCCTGGAACTCACTCTGGGTCTCCCACATGGGTGCCAAGGACCCAACTGCTTAAAGCTATTGGCTGCTGGCTCCTGGGGGTACATTAGTAGGAAGTGTAGCTGAGACTTGAACCCAGGCACTGTGCATCCCAAGCAGTGTCCTAACTGCTCTGCTGAGTCTGCATGAACCACACACACCCCTCCCGGCCCCTGCCTTTTCTTTCCTAATTAAGTGAATATTGATAAAGCAAGTGAATTGTTACTTAGAATCCACACACCCATTGCCTCAAAGTCTTCAAGTGCTGAGGAATTCCGGCAGGCTCCTCTCGAGCTGGGTTAGGATGGATACGGAGCTCACTAGTCCCCAACAGCAGGGAACAGTATTTGGGGCAGAAGGAGCAGCACTGGGAAAGCTCACACTGAAGTCTGAACAAAACAATGTCTCTTAGACCTTCCTGTAGAAGCAGGATCCCTGTGCTTGGGATACCAGGGTGTGACCTGCAGCACGGCCGATGCCTGGGAAAGGGAAAAGCTCCTGCATCGGCAACGGCCACCTCTTCAGTTCCACGACTGCCTACTGACTGGGCCCCTGCCGCATGTGGGCCTTGTGCTGGGTTACTGGAGGGCAGCCATAGTACGGAGGGTGACCCCGCAATGTCCCTTCTCAAGGCTCATCAGTGTAGTAGGGAAGGGCAGTCCTACCAGGATATATCATGGACTCCTCACCCCAGGAGGGTGCACTCGGCGGGTAGGGGGTATGGGGGGCCGATAGGCAGGAGTAGACTCTGGTGTTAAGTGGGGCACCTGTGGGTGGGGACTCGCTCTGCAGGGGGTCATGTCAGTCATCCTGGTGGGTTGTTCCCAGCGCGGCGCTCTCACTCGGGGCACATGTGTGGCGAACGTGTTTGAGGATCGCATGGTGTTCTGGGGAGATCTGAATCCTGGCTACTTACGAAGAGGCAGCCAGGAAGGTGGTGGGTGTGGTGTGGCCTGTTGGGGTGGAAGGGAGAGCGGAGGTGGGGAGGCGCCCTGGCTCTGACCCGGCCCCTGTCCCCGCAGGCATGGAGAGTGCAATCACCCTGTGGCAGTTCCTGTTGCAGTTGCTCTTGGACCACAAACATGAGCACCTGATCTGCTGGACGTCCAACGATGGTGAATTCAAGCTCCTCAAAGCCGAAGAAGTGGCCAAGCTGTGGGGACTCCGGAAAAACAAAACAAACATGAACTACGACAAGCTGAGCAGGGCCCTGCGCTACTATTACGACAAGGTAAACCCTGGGCCTTGCGTGCGCCTGTGCTGGGGGTGCAGTGCCCCCTGCCTTGCTGAAGGCGCCGAGGGTGTGCTGTGAATCTTAAGTTGGAAAAAAGGTGGCTTTTTGTTTAGTTTTTGTTTCTGTTTTAAAAATGTAGGGATTTTTTTTTTTTTTTTTGGATGTTATTGTGGGTCAAGTTTTGTTCCCTCTGCATTTCCACTACAGTTTGCTGAAGAACTGTCTCACGATGGAAATAGATGTCAGGGGGTCCCGGGGCTTCCCTGCTGTTGAACTGTTTGGGCAACAGAGTGGATGTGAAAGTCCACGAAGTCTTTATCCCGCCGGGTTTGTAGTTCTCAGTGGCCTATCCAGAGGCCTGATGGCTTGGGCAAACTCACTCTTTCTTTCTTTCTTTCTTTCTTTCTTTCTTTCTTTCTTTCTTTCTTTCTTTCTTTCTTTCTTTCTTTCTTTCTCTCTCTCTCTCTCTCTCTCTCTCTCTTTCTTTCTTTCTTTCTCTCTTTCTTTCTTTCTCTCTTTCTTTCTTTCTCTCTTTCTCTCTCTCTTTCTTTCTCTCTTTCTCTCTCTCTCTCTCTCTCTTTCTCTCTCGCTCTCTTTCTCTCTCTCTTTCTCTCTCTCTTTCTCTCTCTCTCTCTTTCTCTTTCTCTCTCTCTTTCTCTCTCTCTCTTCTCTCTTCTCTCTCTT